TGTGTGTGTGTTAGTGTGTGTGTGTATGTGTGTGTGTATGTGTATGTGTGTGTATGTGTGTGTGTGTGTTAGTGTGTGTGTGTATGTGTGTGTGTGTATGTGTATGTGTGTGTATGTGTGTGTGTGTTAGTGTGTGTGTATGTGTGTGTGTGTGTGTGTGTTGGGGAGGGGGTATTAAGCCTTGACTTGAAGGATGAGTCGTGTTCGGGTAGGATTTAGCTGGCCGAGAGGGCCTTCCATGGGCAGGGTAGTATAGCCAAAGGCCTGCAGTGGGCACATCACTTTGAAGAACTGACAGAAGGCCAAGGTGATGGAGACCGTGGGAAAAAAGAGGCGGGGATTTGTAGGAAGGGGTAAAGGTAAGAAAAGAAGGGCCGGTGGAGCACCTGGGGCTCAGGACAGTCCCCTGAAGTAGGGCGTCACTGAGTGATGTTTGGGGAGTGAAGGAGAGAAATGGGAGAAGGAATCAAAACATCAAAACCAAAATGGACTTACAGTGGCCATTTTGATCAGATTCATTTAGGGTTAGGGTTGAAACATTGGCTGCTGAGATTCTCAAAGCACAATGAATACCCAAATTTCCTATATAGAGCAGATACTTCTGGAACTGCCCAGACCTACCTGTGTTCCCGAGGGACAGGACACAGACAAGTCCCATGCACAGCCTTAGTGGGGGCCCATGCAGCAGGAAGCTTGGCATGTTGTGATCCTCTGGCCACCTGGAAGCAGACAAGTTGGCACTTAGAGGGAATAGGGTTGAATATTAAAAGCATGGATGCAGAATGTACTTCAAGATCAGCACATGGGGAGTCATTAGAATAACAATCTGAAAAAGGCTTTGAAGTTGTTAGTATAGGTTGGGTTAAGCTGAGATAACAATATTAACCCCATTATTGTCTCAGCTTAATTCAACAACAAAACTGATTTCTTGTATATAATCCACACTTGACTAAAAACAATTTGATAGTGAGCATGGACTCACTGGGCACGGGCGGGGGTGGGGGGGCCTAGTTGGTGGTTCTCCCTCTTCATGGAAAATTGCATTTTGAAAGGTTTTGCTTACATTAGGAATGAAAATTCCTGTGGAGTTTTCTGGAGATTTCCCAGAAAACATTTTAATTGCTTTTTTATTCTTGGTAGGTGCCTGACTGGCGTTTCTTCTAAGTGCCACTCTAAACAAAGACAGACCTTACAAAGAATCAAAAGGCTGGGGTTTCTTGGAGTTCTTTTTGGAGTTCTCTTATCCCTGCTCCACCCCAACACTGAAGCACCTGGGATCAAGTTCCTCACACAGATTTCGAGGGTCGTATTGAGAACATCACACCAGGCGTCAGGCCCAGGCTGCAACAGAGGGATGGGGTAGTCATGCCTTCCTCCTCAAGTTGTGAGCCACTGGAAGGAAATAGACACATGGCCAGCTCATTCACACTGGAGGCCACCTGTGCTAAGACCTCCAAAGGGAGAGAGAGGGAGAAGGGAAGAGGCTGGGGAGGCAGGACTCAGCACTCTCCTCAGCAAAGGGCTGTGGCTGTGAAGGCCAGGAAATGTGGAGAACCAGGTGCAGATTCTTCCTAGTGCCTCGGCTGCTGGGGAAGCTTTGCCCACCGGCCTCTCTGAGTGTCACTCACAGAATGGACAGTCACGGCTCTCTCCGTGTTTCCTGAGTGAGAGGGTGAAATACAGTGCCCAGTGCAGGCTCTGGGATGTGGTAGCTACTTGGGAATCTGAATTCCTGTCTTGTTATCTTTCCTCTTTTTCCTCTTCCTCTTCTGCGTCTGTGCTGGAGCTCAGGATCCCAGCAGACACAAACTTACAGTAGGAAAAGTGGTTGTCTGGCAAAATAGCTATATAAATCTACATTTAGATTTCATATAGAGATTGCATTTCTAGACGTCATATTTTATCATAAATATACTATAGATTTATGTAATCTATATGATAACTGTATTTAGACACAAATTTCTTTTCCTTTTTGACTCATTGCTTGCTTCATTGTTACCTTTCTCTTCCACTTACTAAGCGTGAATATGCTGACATCTATTACTTTAAGACTGAAATTCCTGTTGGTTTTGTTCATGTGGAAAGAAAACCCCCTCCCTTCACTTTCGGCTTTCTGTGTGCCCTTGGCCACATCACTATGTGGAACGAGGCTGGTGGATGTAGCAAAGAGAAACAGGGGATACACAGGAAATATAAATATAAATATAAATATAGATATAGATATAAATATAAATATAAATAAATATATATTTATATATAAATTTGAGATTAAAAAAATATTTTAGTGTGTCTTGTTTGGTATTTGAAACGAGCCTGGTTTGGAGATTCAGGGAGTTTTGTTAAGGAACTTCACTGCTTACCCAAGTCGACCAGCTAGGCATCACTCTATGGTGAGAGCGAGATCATCCAGCTTCCCCGGCCTCTCCTGGCAAGCCTGGAGGGACTGGCTGGGGCACCAGGAGGAGCCCGGGCTGAAGGTTGGACAGACTTAATTTGCTTCCTGGGTTGGTCACTGTGATCTGGGCCATGCTAGACCTTCACCCACTCCGACACGATGGTAGGGCTTGGGGTAGTTGCTGCGCGTGGACCCAGGAGTCAGAATGGCTAGGTCTCCTTCCTGACTCAGCCACCCGCTAGCTGTCCAGGTTACTAAGACTCTCTGCGCCTCATTTCCCTCACTCCAGGCTGACACGAGGACGAAGCACTTGTTATGTATAAAATGCACTGGGAAGTGTCTGGCGCAGGGCAGGTGCTGCATAGCTGTTCAACAAATCATCCAAAGTGATGGTGCTCAGTCGAACATGTCAGCACTCCAGTAGGCAAGGTGATGTCCCCGTGGAATGGAATGACAACCCTCAAAGTCATATATTACAAAGACCAGCCAGCTGTCCAAAAAATTGCCCTGAAACAGAGTTATCTTTATTTTCCTGCATTCCTCATGGTTATTATTGGATAATTTTTTTTGCAAATCGTGGCTTCTTCAGGGTCACCTACAGAGAGGCAAGTCATGTAACCATGGGACAAGAGTAGTGTCCTGGAGGGGATCAGAATAAGCCACCCCCAAATAAACCGCTTTAGCACATGGATTATTTGGAGCTGAAGGTCATTGAGAATTGAACATAAAGATGCTTCCTCAAAGCTCTCCCTCTCTGACTATGTGCATAAATCTATAAGAAATATGGACAATTTAAATCTTCTTTCCCAGGAGAGTCTCATAGCCATGAAGAAGATGGAAAATTGGCACTAAGCAGGCCCTGCATGAGCAAATCACTAAAATAATCCTTCTCTTCCATTAGTGTCCCCAGCATTTTCCTCCCCACCATCTACCACCTCCAGAGGCTTGAAATGTTTTTTCGTTGACTTGTCTCTTCTCCCCATTTTACTGATCTCTCATTGAAATGGTATGTAAGCCTCTGGGTGTTTTTTGGGATTTTCATCTGATCTCTGTGAGGCCTGCCCTAAGCACATGAAATAAACCTTTTATTCCTGTTAGTTTGTCTTTTTTCAGTTCAATTTGCAAGACCCGAGCCACTAAATCTAAAAGAATAGAGAAAATTTTGTTGTTATTGTTGTTTTTTTTTTCCTCCCCAATAGTACAATTTATTGAGCCTCCACTCTGGGGACAAGATCTTTATTGTTTTACCCTGCCAAGTATGCTGTGCCAGAGAGATGTCGATTAATCTGTTACACAAGAGAAAGATCTGAGGATCAGAGTGGAGCCCCTCCAGCCAAAGGCCACATGGCTCCAAATGGGAGAACTGGGATTTGAACTTGGTCTCGGATTCTGAAGACAGTGTCACTTTCCAGCTGATTCAGTTCTACTATCCCACCTGCAAAATATCCTAGAGTGTCACTAATGGATCCATTGTTGAAACAAACAAAATCGATTCCTTCCAAGCATTGTGGTGGGCAGAGGGTTAGAAACCAGTCACATTCCCAGGAGAAGGGCTAAGAAGTGTCACTGAGACTGAGGATCCAAGAATCTGCCCTTGAGTCTTGTGAAATTAGTCTAGGACATGGACAAGTCTGTGTTCTATCAGTAACAGCCCTGTGGCTGGGAATGAGGGTGCTAGGGACAACACCTCTCAAGTCTCAATGGAACATTGAGTTACTTCCAGGTAACAAGGACCACAAGTCAACTACTCTGTCCAGCTGGACCAGCAAACCTGCCTTTCCCAGTGTCTTTGCAGCTGAAAGTCACCCAGTTAGATACAGAATAATCACAACGTGCAACATGAACACGGTAAAGCGCATGCTGAAGAGTGAGTGTCTGCCTTCAAAAGAGATTCAAGGAAGAAAAACAAGGGAGGCATCTAACACTCGTTGACTGTCCACGGGAGTGTCCCATTGGTGACCCTGTGGTAGCCTCTGGGTCCTTAAGCAACCTACTCATTGCCGGCTATCATCTTTAGTTTTTAGTTTGAGGAAACCAAGGCTCAGCTGAGAATTGGTGGCAGGAAGTGCAGCTAGGAGAGCCAGGCTTGGAACTTGTCCGTTTACCTCCAGGTCCTCGGTGGGCGGACCACTGACTCAGAGAGCAACTTTTTAGCGGCTGCCTTGCTGCCAGCCATGCTTTAGGGGATTCTTTTGTTCTCATTCCAATTCTTTGAATTAAAGATCATGTTTCCTCTATCACAGATGTGAGGACAAGTCCTCCTCCTGGCTGATGACTGCATTAAGATCCTAATCGATAGCTTAAGAAGAAAAATGGAAAGCGACCGACAGCCATCAAGGGATGGAGTCTTAGCCCGGTGCAGATAACTGGTTGATGGAAACCGCTCGTATCACTCAGCATCCAGAGCCCAGCTCAGGAATTAGAGCAGATGCATTTCTTAGCTGGCTTTAGCTAAGGAGGCTTAAAATATCTACAGTATAGGACTTACCTGTCTGCTGAGCAGGACGAGTGACTTCAAAGAACTTAAACAGCCTGAAAGATTAACTGCTAGGTCTGTGCCTTGGGATTTATATGAGTTCTTAGTGAAAGATACAGGGGGTGGTGGGGAGAGGCTTGATAACTTTGCTTTAAATCCTTTGCAAAAAGGGGGGGGGGGAAAGCAGCAATAATCCTACCCAAAACTCTGGGCAGTGAAAGGGGATCAGCTCCATTGGAGAAAAATGCCCATGATAAGCTGAATAGAATCCAGGAAGGGACTGACAATGCTGTGATTCAGCAAGGGCTGGGAAAGCTTTCCCAACTGTAATGACCACATTGAAGGAGCCACACGGGAGGTAGCAGGTGGTGACTCTCCCTTCCTGTCACGAAGGTCTGTGGGCTCAGCATCACCTGGTACACAGCCAGTGGGAATCTTCTGAAGCAGCTGGGGCTGCTGAGCTGGACAGGGCCGGCAGGAGCCTGGAGCAGGAGCACTATGCCGGCTACCTATGTGAAGAGAGCCCTAAGCTCAGGAGAACTTTATAGCTTCAAATGGATGGGAAAAAGATGAAGAATATTTTGTTGACATGTAAAAATGGCATGATGAATCTCAGTGTTCTTCGGCAAACTTACATTGGAACATTGTATGGTCATTCATTGATGCCTCCCTCACAGCAGCCCAGAGCTGAGTTAGCTGTGACAGAGATGGTGACCTGCAATACCTAAAATATTTGCAATCTGGTCCTTTATAGAAAAAGTAACAATCCCTGGCTTAGAGGAAACCACATAGCCAAGTTCATTTTATCTCTAGGATCTGAGCTCAAGATTCATCAAGCTTGTCTGGGCCACAGGAATTGCCTGCTAACCTTCCACTCTTGCTTCCCTGAATCAGTTTCCCTTATGTCAGCCACAGGGATCTATTTTTAAACCAGTTTGGTGAGGCAGAGTTGACGTATTATTAAATTCACCCATTTTAAGTGTGAAATCCAACAGTTTTTAGTAAATAGACCAAGTCACGCAACCACCACCAAATTCTACTATTTGACCATTTGTGTCACCCCAGTAAGAGTCCACACATACAGCTACTCCACAGCTCCTGCCAAGCAGTCCCTG